ATGGACTGACAGTTTTCCCTTCTCGGGAATAGTGTCGGTTTTAGTCCGCCGGGATCCGAACTTCCTTTGTCGATGCGTGATGTGGTCAGTCTCAGTGGGGCTGGTGTGTTCAAAAGTCCGCCGCAGTCCGAACTTCGCGGATTGCTGGCCTCGGGCTTCTGTGAGTTGTGGTGGTTTTCCTTTGCGAAGTGCGGGGGTGATAAGCTCGGATGTTGCAGTCATTTTGTTTTCCAGTCGCACAACCGCACCTGGGTACACATGACCACGCGAGATCAGGGTCCTGTGGTCAGAGAGGTCCTGCTTGACTGTTGCGTCTGTACGAATGTATGGTTCTCATTTTTCGTTCTGTCTTTCCTCTGTTGTACAGGGGTGGTGTCGTCTCGAACATGGAGGTCCTCCAAATATCCAGAGCACATATTGCAGAAAGTCCCCGGGTTGAGTAAAAAACACAAGGATATGTTAAAGGCATCAGGGGTTGATGTCGAGATCGGGAAGAAGGAGTACACCTTTGCCATTGAGGAATGTCTTTCCGTTCTTGCCCCAGAGAAAGGGACATATCCACGATTAGTGAGTAGGGGTCAGGCCATGTATGAGAAGTACTTAGCAACACGTCATGCACCCGGGGATAATGTCTAGAACTCCGTTTCTCACTACCCCACGTGTCCTTTGCTCGATGTTGTGCAGTGCGGGCAACAAGTGCAGCACACGGGAAAAGTTTCGCTGCAACGATTGCGCCTCTGAGCTTGCGGGTTTTGGATGACATTGTACGAGGCTCGGTGCCGTCTACCACTATTCTCTCTATACTGGGCGATGGTCAATTTCGGATTGCAGCAAAAGATCTCCTCACCCTCTTGCATGTCAACGGTAGGGTGAATGATGAGGTGGTCAATTTTTATATGGCGTTGTTGGGGTCGACCGCATGTGGGTCACGTGACATCTCTTCAGGCCTTCAAGTCTTCAGCTTTAATTCGTTCTTCTTCAGTAAACTGCGACTTCAAGGACACGGTGGGGTGCAGAGGTGGGCTAAAAACGTAGATTTGCTTCGTTACGGTATTATCTTCATTTCTGTCCACAAAGATGATGATCACTGGATCCTCATTTCCGTCAACATGAGAGATGATGTTCTCGAAATTTTTTATTATTTTCCTCGCATTGTAGCTGATTCTAGTTCTTACCTTTGTGTTTTTGGGTTGATTGTGCAGTATTTGGAACGTCAAACATCACATAGGCGGTCGGGTAGGAATTGGAAGTCCATGGTGGGAAATATTGTGGTGGATGGAGTTCCGAGACAAGTGGATGGAGCAAGTTGTGGTGTGTTCACGTTGATGTATGCGACGTTGTTGCAACATGGAGATCGACCGCATTTCCGGTTCTCTTGTAAAGATATTCCGTTTCTTTGACGACAATTAGCATCATGTGTCTTAGAACATTGTTGTCTTTGATGGATTTCATTGACTTCGAAACTTTTTTTTTCAGTGTTTCATTCGTTGATCGTTAAATTTTGTAAATCGAGACATTATTCAACTGTCCTTCTGCCAGAGGCATTGCTTTCTTTTATCGTTCCGAGTTCGCATTATCTACGGCAAGCTCAATGTATGTCCTGCGTCATGTATGGGCTTTGTAATCTATGTCACGTAATGTTCCATGTTCCGAATTTTGTTCAAGTTGAAGTATTGTGTTCCATGTTTCAAATTTTGTTCAACTGGAAGTGTAAACATGATTGTGAAACTGGTTGGTGGATGAATGAGAAATCTCATCTTATGTGAAATTGGTCAGTGGATGCCCAAACCTTCTTTGCATGACCATTTGAAATGCGAATATTCATCGTGATGGAGCACAATTTAGTCTAATTCAATCTAATTACATTGTTAATTTTGTTTACAAAAGTTCAACAACTATGGATGTCAGCAAACTTTCGCATTTGGGGCGACTGGGCGGGCTTGCCCATGTACAAACATTGCAGTCAAAAATGAATTCGTAAGAAAGAGGACAGTGTCACAATATAGTTACTGTATCTTTCATCACATTTATGAAATTGAAGTTTGACAAGTTAGGATCACGGCACAGTTCCGCACAGGGTTCCCTTTGGAGTGCCAATCGTTGTTCGTTTATGAAGTTTGACTAGTATGGATCCCAACACACTTCCCCACAGGATCACCAACATGTTTTTGATGTTCAACAAGTAAGGATCCCAACACACTTCCACATTTGGGATTTCATTTATGAAGTTTCACAAGTATGGATCTCAGCACGCTTCTGCATGTGGTTAACCCCTGGATGGGCATGCCTACGTTGCTTAGGCTCCAACCAAAAATTAATTCGTTAGAAAGAGGACACAGTAAAATATCCTATTTTAACGAATAACGTGTTCTTTTTGCTTCCTATCTGCACCCAGACAATGTCCAGGTCCAGTAACCCTCGCAGGATCCGACGTTTCTCCGCATCTGTGAAATCCCCCATGTCTTTCCAACAATGCACATCGGGTTCATTCACTTGCACGAAAAAGTTGCGCTCCTCCTGTTTCCTTTTCTTCTTTCCTTTCCGCATCTCGGATCAGTCACACGCACATTATACACAACTCTCTTATGGCCATCGTTGTCCTCCGCAAATGATTGACCCTCACGGGTGACTTTCGGATCCGCTGTTGGAGGCTTCTTCGTCCACACAGCGCCATCAGGGGCGAGCGTATGGCCCTTCTCCCACTCGTCGTAGAACTTCATGCCAAGCTTCCACGTTTCCTCGTCCGTCATGACCAAAGGCAAGTAGTACCTCAGTTTCTCCGTCCATTCCTTTTTCTTCGATTTCTCATCAGCCAATCCCCAAAGGTTGAAGTAAGGTGTTTTTCTCAAGGCAGCTTTCTGAAACTCTTCGTATTTGGCGACCAAATCCTTCTTGAACTTTATATTGTCGGTGACTGCACGAGGACGGTTCAAGTTATTCCACTCCTGACGAATGTCTGCCATTGACAACCGTTGAGCCCGAGGAGGGGCTAACTTGTCCTTCCTATTCTCGTTCACGTTTATCTGTGTATAACCGTCGAAGTCCTCCTCGGTGAAGTACAACGGCTTGAAGGGCCTGTCGGAGAAGGTATGCTTCTCCCAAATCTCGTGGTTTCTTAACTCCAGCGCAACCTTGACATTTTGCTGCCCGCTCACAGCATAGCACCAGTGCTCGTTCGGGTTATCCACCGGGGTCACCCGAACAACCTTCCGTCCGGGGCTAGAAAGCCCTACGATTGGCGCCAATTTCAAAATTGGCTTCTCGTACGTCTTTCCTTTCTTCTTGAAGGCATCCATCATACACCGCAATATATATGCCGTGTGGGTTGAGTCGATCGAACGATGATTGTACGGCCTTTCCCACGACGACTACTCCAAGACCCTCTCCGGGTTGATAGAAAGAGTGACATCTTTCTTTACACCCTCTTTCCATTCCAGAAAGTACCCGGCGTCCAGATCGACAACCTTTTCCTTGTCGTCCTCACTGTCGTTTTCATCTGCTCGTGCCCGCTTGTCTTTCGATGACCCCTCCCCCGTTCCACCTCCCCGTCTCGCCTTCAGTGTTTGTGGGTTCCTCCCTCTCGACTTCCTCTTCTTTTCAGATATCTGGCGAGGGGTACTTGTTTTCCTTTTCTTCTTGTCCGATTGTACGGCCTGTCTGTGTTCGTCTCTAGCCCCCTCGCTGTCAGATTCTTCTCCGCTTCTCTTTTCTCCCACCGCAACAGGTCTTTTGCCCATATCCCTTGGCCGCTCGGCAACCTCATGATCTCCTCCCGATGTGCTAACTCCAGTTGTCTTCGCCCCAGTCAACGGCTCATTTGTAGCACTCACTGGACCCTGAGCCACATCGGCGACCGCCCCCTCCGCATGTCTGCGCTCGGTAGCTTCACCTTCCGTCTCGGATTCTTCATAAGCACCTGAGGGCTCTGGCTGTTCAGGAACGTAGCTAGGGTCAAGCACTCCAGTCGCACCCTCTGTAGCAACAGCAGTCGACATTTCTGAAGTTCGCGTGCGGTCCTCGTCATCGCCAACGTACGAGATCGACATTGAAATACGATGCTCCTGCGGCACATCTAAACACCTGGCTGGCGGCACCACTCTCTCCCACTCATCAAAGAAGACCCGCAAGAGAACAGTTGGTTCTAAATCTGATGTTATGGCCGTGTAAAATGGAAGCATGGTGGCTTGTTTGTCGAAACCTCGGAACTTTTTCCAAGACAATCTGACACCATGGGCGTCATCGTCAGGACGACCGTCCTTTCCGTATGTCGTCTGAAGGATGAAAGTACAAACTCCTTCCGAACAATCTTCCCACCTGCTCACGGCCCCGACGAGCCGAAAATTCTTATGGTCTGTCACGAAGACGACTCCACCGCAAGGTGGACTCGTCAGCGCGGACTCGTCAGCAGAAACCCAATCAAGAAACCACTGTCGGTTGTCGTACTTGTAGTACGAAGGATTTCTCTTCGTCCCGCTGCTGTGCCTGCCACCCGAAGAAGCACGCTGACCGCATTCCGCTACTGGAGCACCGCCAGAGGTCGAGGCCGGCCCACCACGATTTCCACCAGACTCTCGCCCTGCTCGCTGGGTAGCCGTTCCTGCAGAGTCATGTCGTTCGCCAGCACCTGCGGACGCCATTTTATCATCATTTGCAAAGCAAGAAGAAGAACACGCTACTCAGCATGATAGTAAACAAAACGACGTCGACGATGCCCATACTCAGCACATGGCACTCCGAGGCGCTCGACAAGGGCAAAGTCTTCATCCTCAGCGGCGGATATATCCGCTATAAAAGGCAGCAACCTGACTTTTACGATGCTAAACCTGAGCACATGGCATTTTAAAGCAGATGTATCCGCGACGGGGTCGATGTATCCGCTGCATGGACAACGACGTCGAAGCACCACATCAGGACAGCGCAGGGTCTTGATCCTCAGCTGCGGATGTATCCGCCGCATGGACCGCGACATGACATAGACCCTGATGCCTAGGGCGGATGTATCCGCCGCATGATCGGTTGCTCGCGGTCCATGCGGCGGATACATCCGCCCCAGACATCAGAGTCTATGTCATGTTGCGGTCCATGCGGCGGATACATCCGCAACTGAGGATCAAGACCCTGCGCTGTCCTAGTGTGGTGCTTCGACGTCGTTGTCCATGCAGCGGATACATCGATCCCGTCGCGGATACATCTGCTTCAAAATGCCATGTGTTCAGGTTCAACATCGTAAAAGTCTGTGAGGGGCAGGGCCATCATCCTCAGGTGCGGATGTATCTGCTGTCGAATGAAGCGACACTACTTCAATAACGGACACATCCGCCGCTGAGGATGTATCCACTGCCCGACCTCGAAGTACTGTTCGATCACTCAGAGTAGGGTCCGATCCTCGGCGGCGGATGTATCCGCTAGAGGAGGAAGCGACATTGTTCGACACGGACAATGCTCATACTGAGCACATGGCGGTTCGGGGTCATCGTCCTCATGTCTGGGGCGGATGTATCCGCCGCATGGACAGCGAGAAACCGTCGTCGTGCGCTTGTGAAGGGCAAGGTCATCATCCTCAACCGCTCCAATTAATTTTGCACCTTCAGCGGATGTATCCGCTATCGAATGAAGCAGCACGATTTCAATAACGGATACATTCGCCGCTGAGGATGTATCCACTGCCCGACCTCGAAGTACTGTGCGATCGGTCAGGGCAAGGTCCTATTCCTCAACAGCAGATGTATCCGCCAGAGGAGTAAGCGACGCAGTTCGACATTGGCAATGCTTATACTAAGCACATCGCGGTTTGGGGTCATCTTCCTCTTGTGTGGGGCGGATGTATCCGCCGCATGGACCATGAGCAACCGTTGCCGTGCGCTTGTTAAGGGCAAGGTCATCATCCTCAGCAGCGGATGTATCCACTGTCAAAAGAGCAGCACGACGTCAATAACGGATACTTCCGCCGCTGACGATGTATCCACTACACGACCTCGAAGTACTGTGCGATCGGTCAGGGCAGGCTCCTGATCCTCAGCGGCGAATGTATGCTATCCGCCGCGGGATTGATATCAAATGTGGAGCGGATGTATCCGCCGCATGGACGATGACCTCGAACTGCTGAGCGCCCGTTAAAGACACGGTCTCCATCCTCTGCATACCCAGTGGAGAAAGGACACCGGCCTGAAACCTCATTTACCATAATCAACTTTCACGTATGTGTGGCAGATATATCCGCGACGCTGTAAGCAGGCGGAATCCTCTCAGAGGATATAGCAGCGCACAAAACAGAGAAACCACACCTGTGCGTGTGGGGCGGATGTATTCGCCGCATGGCCCGCAAGCAACCGTTGCTGTGCGCTTGTGGAGGGCAAGGTCATCATCCTCCGTGGCGGATGTATCCACTGTCGAATGAAGCAGCACGACTTCAATAACGGATACATCCGCCGCTGACGATGTATCCATTGAGCGACCTCCAAATCATGTCGTTTACTCCTCTGGCTTAGGGTAGGGTCCTGATCCTCAGCGGCGGATGTATCCGCGAGAGGAGCATGCGGCACGACTTGTACCCTTCTCAAAATGAGGCCTGCTAGTAAATCATGTCGAATTTGACAATGCTATCTGCCGTGGATTGATATCAAATGTGAAGCGGATGTATCCGCCGCATGGACGACGACCTCGAACTGCTGTGCGCCCGTTAACCACAATCGATTTTCACGTATGTGTGGCCGATATATCCTCTACACGGTAACGTGGCGAAAACCTCTCAGAGGATATAGTAGCGCACAAAACAGAGAAACCACACCCGTGCACAAATTGCGCATCCCGAGATCGTGTGGCGGTTGTAATAAACACAGAGGACGTTTCCCCCCCTGGCAACTAGCGCTCTGTGCCTTCGATGTCCACGTATGTATGGCGGATATATCTTCCGCAGGAAGTGAGCGAAAACACACCGGCCTCGAAACCTCATTAACCACCTTCGACGCCCGTGTTTGTTTGACGGATATATCCTCTGCACACCAAGCGGGCGGAGACCTATTAGAGGATATGCAGATGTACTCTGTGAAGTTTTTCGTTGCTTGTTGTGTAGCGGATATATACGCCACACAGACATGGACGACGAATGTTGTTTTCTCTGTTACATTTTTGCTATACTACTGTATGGCGGATATATCCGCCAGACATACGTTGACATCAAGCGCGGGTGTTGTGTCTGTGTTCTGCACTGATATATGCACTCTGTGAAGCTTGCAGTCCATTGCTGTGTAGAGCATATATCCGCCACACAGACATGGACGTCGAATGTTGTTTTCTCCGTTACGGTTTTCTTGCACTACAGTGAGGCGGATATATCCGCCACACAAACGTGGACATCAAGCGTGGGTGTTGTTTCTTTGTTTTGCACTCACAACAGAGCAACCACACCCGTGCACAATTTATGCATCCCGAGATCGTATGGCGGTTGTAATCGACACAGAGGATGTCTCCCCCCTCTTAACCAGCGCTTTGCGCCTTCGGCGTCCACGTCTGTGTGAAGTACATATCCGCCACAGCAACTGAGCGAAAAAACACCGGCCGCGAAACCTCATTAACCACCCTCGACGTCCGTGTTTGCGTGTCGGATATATCCTCTGCACACCGAGCGGGCGGAGACCTCCTAGAGCATGCATCACCTGTGCTGAATGTCCATGTCTGTGTGGCGTATATAACAGAGAAACAACACCGCGTTTGATGTCCACTTCTGTGAGGCGGATATATCCGCCACTCAGTAGTTGAGCAAAAACCTCATGGGAGAAACAATACCCGACGTCCATGTCTGTGTGGCGGATACATCCGCCACACAGCAAGCAGCCAGAAACTTCAAAGTTTCATATATATGCCCGTGAATAACAGAGAAACCACCCATGCACCCACCATTCATACCCTGTAACGTCACAAAAATGTGTGGTGTTGTAAACGACACAGAGGGTGTTTTTCCTTTTCATGGAAGTTGGTCTTCAATTGAAGGTAACTTTGTCTTACGAAACCCGTTTGGAAAAGCAAAGCAAAGATGTACGAAAAACAGTTGCTGGAACGGAAAACCGCTCAAACAACAGACTGTCCTTTCCCGTTGGTAAACAATGCTCCACGCTTGATGTCCACGTCTGTGTGGCGGATATATCCGCCGCACGGTGTCTGAGCAAAAACCTAATGGAGAAAAACGTTCACGTCTGTGTGGCGGATATATCCGCCATACAGAAAGCGGACGAAAACCCCTCATGCCGTATGAATCCTCGTGCCAAACTAAGAAACCGAACCCATGCACGATTCATGTCGTGTACAATCACGAAATTATGTGTTGTTTGTAAACGACACAGAGGATGTTTTTCCCGTTGCCAGCCAGCGTCTATGTGGCGGATTTATCCTTCGTACGTCAAGGATAAATCTTGTTCCTAATAATTCGTGTGACTAACAAAAGCGCAAGTTCGATGTGCTACTGAAACCAGTTCGATGCACAACCAGAAGGGGGTTGAATGCACAAGTAGAGGGGTTTGATGCACGACAAAATGTGGTTTGTATGCACAAGTAGAGAGGTTTCAGTAAGGGGTTTCGATGCACAATATGATGGGTTCGATGCACAACAAGAGTGTTCGATGCGCAACAAGAGGGGTTCGATGTACAATAGGAGACGTTCAATACACAACAAGAGGGTTTCGATCTTCTACACGATGGGGTCCAAAAGTTCCATGCGTGACAATATCGGATATGTTGGAAAGCACAGCACAACGCGTGATGATGACGTCAGCGCACCTTACTGCTGATCGAATGGCTGCCTCCCTCGTTCAGCGACGGTTCTCAACAACCCGTGGTCCGCTGTGCTCGACAGGCCTTAATGATGACGGTTCTCAACAACCCGTGGTCCACACGCGCACGCCCGAAAACCCACGTGGCGATGGTCGGAGACCTCGAACAGGATCGCGATCGTCGTT